ATCGCGGATTTTACTTCTAATCAGTATGCTTTTGTACCAAATTTCTAAGTGATAAAATCATGTTAAAATATATAACTAATATACTTTTGAAATAGTTTTATTACATAATTTACACTCCCACTCTACACCTCCCCGACACAACCCCTTTCGGATTTTTTCCGAGAACTCTCCTTCCCTTCTTCTTCTTCTCCGAACATTGCTTCTGCAAATCCTTTGTAAATGCTACCTACTTTCTTCCCTGTATATCTTGTAAACCTGCTACCTGTGGGTAGCCAGACCCCGACCGTCCAAGCGTCTGGCACTATAAATAAGCCTAATCCTCGCTCCCTCTGTCTGCACGTTGCACACTAAATGCCCAGTCTCTGCTCTGCCATTTCGACGAAGTAACGGAAATAATATCTATACACCGTTTTCATGCAATTCTTTTAAGCGAAATTTGGTTGAAGCATTCTCTCAATTCCTCGCTAGTAGCAATTTCAGGGTACCGCCTAATCAGAGCTGATCAAAATGCCAGCGTCGCCGCCCACGGTGAAGGCGTCGATATATGCATTCGCGAAGATCTTAGGCATAAACTTGTACTATCTTCAACAAATACGGATTGCCTGCGTAGCGAATATCTTTTTATCGAAGTTGGACGTTTAGGAAAAAAATGTCTCTTGGTTGTCATATCTCCTAAGACAGGCAGCATAGATATGCTAGACGAAACCTTTGCATCTGCGATAAATTCTTATGAACTGTTATGTTAATCGTCATGTTATTGTAATCGTTGACTTCAATCATAACGTATTAAAACCCTCTCCCTCTGCAGAGTATTTTACGCGGTTTTTCCGCAGCATGTGCATCGAATTTTTTCCTCTAGCGCCAACACACCACTCAAAGAACACAGAAACTTGGATTGATCATATTATAGTGTCTCATGCAAACATAGTTCGAAAACATGGACAATTTCCAGTTCCTGGGATTTCAAAACACGACCTAATTTACCTCGTATACAGCGTGAATACTCACCTCAGATAATCAAATACCGCGATTTTTCAAAATTTGATAAGCAAGCATTTACTCGTAATATAGGTGGATTGACACTTCCATGGCACCTTGTACACAAAGAAGAATCACTGGATGATAAAGTGGCGATTTTCACTAACTTGATAACATAGCTCTATGACCGGCATGCGCCTTTAAAACTTTCGCGTGTAACTCGTTCTCTTGCACCATGGTTAACTGATGAAATTTGAAATTTAATGAAAGATCGTGATGCAGTGTAAGCTATTTTCCGAAAAACTAAATGCGAACTACTTAAAAAACAGTACAAAACGCTCATAAATTTAGTAACGCAGAAATGCCGCAACGCTAAAATAAAATATTACCACACCACCTTCGGCAGAAACAGCGACTCGAGAACGATTTGCAAAAGTCTGAAAAAATCTAGGAATAGGCAAAGGTCATCCCCCAATTGAAACGAATATACCCTTAGAATCACTATATCATAAATAATGTTCCTTCATTTGACAGTAACTTGAAAAGGCAATCTCTTTCGTTTCTTCATAAACTCAGAAATAAAATCCAACGATATTTTTTTTATTTCGTCCGCTGAACATCAGGATATAATCAAAATCGATCAAAGTCTCAAATCAAATGCTTCAGGTTTCGATGGTATAAATGCCAAACTGCTAAAAAATAGCCTAGATGTGACATACCCAATCATCAACGAAATAGTAAATTTCTCACTAATGAGCGGACAATATCCCTTATTCTCGAAGATTGCGCTCGTGTATCCTATTCCCAAGACAGCATCAACCAAAAACACTATTGAATACCGCCCAATTATCATCCTACCAACTATCTCTAAAGTACTCGAAAAAGTCGTCCGGAAGCAAACTGAACAGTATCTTTGGAAAAATCACTTTTGAACGATCAGCAATCAGGTTTCCGTTCCAGCAATCCTACTAAACGTCATTGAAGACGCGAGAACAGCAATAGATTACTGTAATATAACTATCTTGGTTCTTCTGGATTTCAGCAAAGCATTCGATTGAGTAGATCACGACATCCTGCTCGCAAAACTAAAGATATTGGGATTTGCACAGCTCACGCGTACATGGTTTCTTAATTACTTAACTTCCAGAACCCAAAGAGTGGTGTCCAGTAGCCGCAGCTCAAGGAACTTGAAGCTTAACCGCAGAGTTGCTCAAGGCACTGTGTTAGGGCCACTGACCTTCTTAATCTATGTAAATGACGTAGTAAATGCACTTAAATATTGCAGTCATCAAATGTATGCGGATGATCTCCAGATATATCTAAGTGGCCACCCATCTCAACTCTTATCACTCGGACAAAAAATTTATGAAGATTGATAACGGTAAAGAACTGGGCAGCGTCTTTAGGCTTACAATTAAACCCAAACAAATCACAGTGCATGATTATCAGCTTGAAAAGCACTATGAATAAAATCTCATCTTCTGCGTTGTCTAATATTTATATAAATGACACCATTCTACCTTGGTGTTCCGAAGACAAGAACCTAAGTAGTTATCGACAACACTCTCAGCTGGAACTTCCAAGTACATTCAACCTGCCGTAGAGTTTTTGCCTCAATGCATTCACTGAACGGCCTGCGATCACTTTTACCAGGTAGCACACGTGAGACTCTCATCAAATCATGTATCATGCCTCATTTCGACTATTGCGACTTTCTTCTGACCAACATGATATTCAAATTACAACGTAAACTTCAAGTATCCCAGAACGCATGCGTACGTTTTATTTTTGATCTAAGAAAATACGACCATGTACCGGAATTTTTTGACAGAATTCGTATGTTTACTCTAGACAAACAACGGTTATTCCACTCTCTATTTCTTCTTTATATAGTTTTAAACGGTTCTCATGCAACACGCCGCATAAGTAACTTCAATCCTCTGAAACTAAATCGAGCTCGTGAATCAGCTCTGCTTTGTGTACCATGTCACAACACGACTTCTTTCAGTAAATCATTCACCATTTCAGCTATCCGAGCCTGGAATAAATTACCAGCGAGTCTAAAACATTCAAATACTTTCGGTAAATTCAAAACTGAATTAACCACATGGGTAAGGAATAACGACGTATAGAATGGCGTTAACGTCTTTTTCAATCTCCAGACTTCTCCCACTTCCAAGCGCCCGGTCACCGCTCCCGTTAAATACCGTGCTTTACCCCTCTCTATTTTCAAAATTCTACCCCATACCTCATTCCTTATCTTCCATTCCCTCTCACACCTAAATTATTAACATTATTATTTTTCTGGGTACCCTAACGAAATTGTTATAAATGAAATGAAATATACAAAATTATAAGTGGCGTTCCAGATAAAATATATTTGTAGCTATCTTTGTACCATAATCATGATATTTATTACAATATATTGGCATAAACAAAATTGATGTTAAGATACCAGCACTCTCTATATTGTTCCTGAATACTGCCAGCATTGTGTGTAAAATTACTGTGGTTATTTGCTTATAGTGTATTGTGCTTCTCTGATGTTAAAATTATTTTGTATTTATGTAAAGTGCTATTGTAATCTAAACGTAGCTTTCTGTAACGTTCCTCAAATAACTTCACTTTTTTCGCCTACTTCTTCATCCTTTTCTTTGCTTCTTTTCTCTTCCCTCTCCTTCACAAATTTCATCATTTTTACTTTATGACCCTGTACGTCTTTTCTTTTCTCTTTCACTAAACTTCCATTTCACTATTATCTATAACATATTCAGTTCTATCAATGTTCGGCCCATAGCCGCCATCCTGATTGAGGTTTTCTGGGTTTACTTAATCGCTTAAGGCGTATGCCGGGATGGTCCCTAGATTTGTTCTCCCAGACGTAAATGTACAGCTTGTCCACCCCTCTTAAATGGTTACTACTCTATATGTATGTAAATTCAGTGGTTTGGCGGAAGAGCAGACCCTACGGCCTGAGCCTCGCCATTAATAAAGACATTATTATTATTATTTCGTATCATATAGTTACAAATTAAACGATTACATTTATACAATGAAAAATGCATCATAGATAATAATGTGTTGAAATTGATGGTTAATGTCAAAATTTATTACACATTATTTGATTTACATTTTTGTAATGATGTGTGGCCGTCTCTCCGTCTGCTCGTCTCCCCAAACATGTTTAGTTTTTGACATGTCAAAATCATTAGCATTGCACACTAAACTATGGAAGATCATGGTTTGTTTGAGATAAACTTTTGCTGTCTTTTCCTAGTCTTATATTTTAAAGTCAGGAGACGCTGAATAAATGGCACTTACGTTTTTGTAGAACTACCACTTTAGATAAAAGGAAAGTAGCCACATCTAAGCGCATTGTATTTGTTAGTGAGTACTAGAAACTTCTAGAGATTTTATTTATCAATTTATTTATTTAACGTCAAAGACAATTAAAAACTACATGTGACGTGCTGTGGGAAAAAGTGTATTATATACACGTTTTCTTAAATTCTGGAATCCCTACCCTAAGCCATATACGAGTTGAATTCCGAATATATTTGCTCCTGTGTAATAAAATATATTTGCAAAGGCAAATCGGCTATAAATTTGGGCTATTATTCCTCATCGTGCTCTTCGTGAAGAAAACGATTTCCGTAGAATCCTCGTAGAACCTCATGTGAAATTTGTTACGACAAAACGAGTTTGCGTGCTGTACAGGGGCTAGTTCAACCCCTGTGAAGCGTCCTAAACCTCCCCCCTATTCTTAATCCTTCCCAATTCTGGCTACATGGATATATGACGCAGGGCGCGTGCGAGACGCGAGCGCGAAGACGTCACCCGTCGGCGATCCCTGACTTGACTGCCACTGACGTGACCACGACTACTCCGGCCCCAAGAGGGCGCTTGTAAAGGGGGATTACTCCAAAAATTGTAAATGTTTATGGAGGGTTACTCCATAGTGCGCTCAATGCTCCTTAAGGAGCTAGAAGACCGCATGAGTGATGTTGTAATTTGCGTTGTAGATGGAGCGTTCCGCGACCGCACGTATGGACGCCGCACGCCCGCTGAAATGGCGGATTCCGAGTCCACCATGTTGCGGTCCACCTCCGCGACGGACGAGACGGCGGAGACGAAACGACGTCATCTCGGCGTCAGCGCCGACAAGGACAGCCAGTCGGAGCCCTTAGATTCGAGCAGAGATGCAGAGATGAACGATTCGAGTACACACCAAGATTTCGACGTTGTGAGTGTTGGCAGTGCAACATCGGGAGTCAGCACTCTGCAAATACATCCCGAGTTACAGGTGAGTTAACGTCATCCCAAGCGGTGAGTTAATGTTCTCCCAAGTTATGCTGGAGTCAGTAAACGAAATGATTGATCACTCTCCGTGGCATCACAAAGGTTAAGCAGCGAGAGACACCGAGAGCCTCTAGGTGAGTGAGCGTCTGGAAACCCCGGGTACTAGTGGCGCCAACCCCTGATCGATATATAATGAAATTATGACAATATATCTACGTTCGATGAGAATAACCCCATGTATAATGATTTATGACTACGTTCAAGGAGATATTTTCGTGTTCAATGCCGAATACAAACCTGGAAAATTATTACAGGAATTTCTACACAAATGTGGAACTCGTTTCGAGAGTTCCTAATGAAATGTGACGCGAGATATGATTTTGTATGAATAGTGAGGAAGGAAGGTTCAAACGATCCCCAAACCATAATTTTTCCCGCTTATAGGCCAAATCGGACCACGCGTGCGTCCTGCTTCAGCAGGTGCAAGTACCTTTCTGGGGGGGAGTCAGCATTTTAGCTGAATTCCGATTTTTATCCCCCTAGGTTGTTAGCCCTGGGAGTATGGGTGATGCCATGATGATGATGGTGGTGAGGGATGAAAGGACGGCGCACAAATATAGACATGCACAAATACACTCATGCCCGAGGCGGGACTCGAATCCGCGGTCTTGTGGTCCGGGACCACTACGGCACTACTGCCCTGTCGATCTCGGCAATCTGACCGGCACAAACCATCATTATACAGAGTTGGCCAATAAAAATTCTCCTCGAATGTTTTTTAACGGTTCAAGATATCGATATGAAATTTTCACCAAACAATTCAAGAGTTGGGTGCTCATCACTTGCAGTTGTCAGCTTTTTGACAGTATTTTTTATTCTAAAGATATTGGACTAACTTTTGTAATGGAACACTATATTGTTTTTTACATGATTAGGTAGGTCAGGATAAGACAAATTCAACATTATTACTTATAGCTCATCTAACGGAACAATGACATAACTGCTAAATTTTGCTAAATGAGTTAAAGGTCAGAACTATTGCAGGAACTTCCAACATCTACCGGAATATCCTCTGAATTGTTATTTTTTTCTGGACCGCCTGAGGACAGTAACGTCGTTGTTGCAATGTTACGTGGTTGTATCCTAGTTTGAGAACAACGCATTAGTTGATTGTATGATGTTAGTACAAGACACTCTCATTTTTGGTGGAACATTGCCTCAAGAGTCTTCTATGTTATTCTGTGAAACGGCAGGCAATTTACAGCGCAATAACGCCGTAAATTTACAATTGCCAATTTTGCTAAGTATTCAATCGAATACTATTACGTCTCGATTGGTCCTTGTGACATTTCTTACCTAACTGAGCGATCGAAATCGTCTCATAATTGTTAATTATGGTAAAAGACTCATAAGTTTGAGGGGAACGATAACACAATAGAAAGGAGATAAATACAAAGGTTAATAACAGAAAAAATCTATTAAAAGTGATACTTAACAAGATCTTGGTAAGAAGTAACATTTGACCTAGGCTTATTGACTATTACTGAGGGAATAATGTTGGTTCAGAGTATTTTTTAAGAATTTTGCTTCTCCTGATAAATTCCCTTTTATATAGTTGCGTTACTGTTCCATTGGATGAGAGATATGTTGGTATTGATGAAAAATTATAAACTAATGAATTTTAAAATCCGACGTTATAAAGCAGGTTCGGACGTTTGCGGTGCGGCTATATTGTAAACGTTTCCACGGTCCTTCTATCATTTGCCAGTTCAAAACGCATCATATTAAGGTGTCTATCGCATGTTGTGATCTCTAAACGACAATCGTCACTGAGGTACACAAACGTAGATGAGGCAGTCTACAAATCGCGAAAGATACGTTTGTCACATGCAGAAAGTGAATGACGTAGGGAGTGCACAACAGAGATTTGTGACCCTGCGGCTTGTTTCTGCCGTTTTCGTTTATGTCGTTTCTGTATTCGTTATCGACAGTTGACGTATAAACGTTTAGAAATTTGCGACCCATTTGTGTTATCAATAATTTCATTTCAGTAAAAATAATTTCGTTTGATTGATGGTTTAAGATAAATTCACAATGAAGAAAATTGGATAGTTACATTAAAAAACGTTTAGTCTCAATATATCTTTTACTGAAGTTGAAGCTCAATTAAATACGCCATGGCCAGGAAAAAGCGCGATTTTCACAGTGAAACAAAGGAAAGTATTTCTGTATATTTGTTGAAATCTACCGAAGCCGTTCAAAGCAGAGACATTGAGCACGCAGTGCGAAATGACACACATGGATTTAGCCAAATCGGCGGCGTAATGTTTTTTGTAGACTGTGTTTCGCGAGACTTACGTTGCCACACATGTTGCGAGTATGCCCCTTTTAGTGTGGTGTTAAAACAAAACGTTCTTTATCGCCCGTATATTTTACGCAAAATTATGCGAAAAGTTCTCAAATATTCAAAAATTGTACATGACCTTATTTCAAAACCTCTCTTTAAAGAACAGATTCTATTAAGGAAAAAAACTCTTTCTTCAATATGTTAGTTGTAAGAAGCCGAAAAAACGTTAACTTTTCCAATTTTCGAAATATCAGGTCTTTCAATGAACATGAGAACTGCACCGTTTTCTTAAAAGTTCTTCACACTATCCAACAACAAAATTTAATAAAAAACGATGGAGCCATTTTTATTTTGAAACTTTTGAAACTGCCCCAGGAACTTCATGTAAAGTACCCCCTAAAATTAAAATATCGGTTTCCAATTCAAGGGGCCATGGCATCAGCCAGATTGATTGAGAAATATCAATTTTGGAGAATATCGGCTGAACGGTTTAGTCGCCTGCGTTGTTCACAGACGGACAGACAGACGTACACACACGTCTTGCCGTCATTCGATTTTTCGGTATCAATAACCCACAGAACATGGATTCTGGCTACACCACGTGATCGAGGATTTTTTCCATAAATTTATCAACTGTGTTTTCCCACTTTTTCGTTACCAGGGCCCTGTAATGAGTTCTGCCGAAAATTCGCCGTTTTTCGCGCAGCATTATATAACTTTCTGTCCACTCCGTAGCGACAAAGTAAAAAAATGATTAAGAAATTTCGCCTGGACGTTTGTTGAAAGGGATATGATATTATTGTTAATATACTTGACCGGGACATTTGTTGAAAGGAAAATTCCGATTCGACGTCGCTGCGAGCTGCGGCTTGGAGACCGCTGAGCTGCCCGGCGCCGCGCCACGAACGTACCTGCTTTTCATTGAACACCAGATTTATACTCTTTTGTGCTGTTAATTTACCATGAAATACTAACTTATGTGGGGAATTGATTCATTTGTGTTCTCAAGAGCTTTCTGTTCATTTAAAAAATCAGTGTTTCATTTAAAAAATGAAGCTAGTCCAAAATTTTAAAATAAAAACTGCTATTAAAAAGCTGTTAACTACAATTGTTAAAGCCCTGTGTCGTGAATTGTTTGGTGAAACTTTTATGTCAATATAGTATTAAACCGTATAGAAAATATTCGAGGTGAACTTTTTTATTGATTAACCCTAGAACTCATTCTGCTACGTACTTGACTCTGGCCAAAGTGTAGTACCCGAAAAATAATTGAGAATTTCACTACCCCAACTTATAACTCACATTATTACTAACTTCCTCAGAACTGTTTGCGAACGGCAACGCATGTTTCTTTTTTTTATAAAATGCTAATCGTACTGTTTGCATATTTCTTCGTTCCAGAGATATATTGAGTCATTACTAGACTATGTTACCAAATTTTCTGCGAGTAGAAGAACTATAATCCAATGTGTGTTATTACTCCATCCAAACAAGCAATATAAATCATTGTTTCGTTTTTACCTCAAAAATGTCATAAATGAGACGCCACCACAAACATATGCTCGTGTGACGATGACAACAACTAGGTTTAAAATCATTCAACCATCTTTTGCAATTCCACCGAAAGCATTGACACCAATCTAACAGTGCAGGACTGGAAGCGACGAGCGGTGGGTCCAATGGAAGTTCTGCAGACAACATTTCAAAACTGAAGTTTTTAATATTTACACAAAAAAGTTGCAAATACAATCTATTATTTTTATTCTCTCCCGTCTTAATTCCGAACACAATTTGTTCTTATTGTAAATGAGAGTCCTCCAGTTAAAAAAATATTTCATTCTTTGATGGCAATTTTAAACTAATTTTACTGAGAACAGCATATTTAGTAACTAAATAGAAAATAATTAGTTGTTTTTAATGCTGTAAATTTCCTGCCCAGGGCATCGTCTTGACTCTTTTTCCAAGGAAGGCATGCCAAACCGCGCCCACTCGAGCTGCCTGACTGTTTGGCAAGCCCGGCGCTCCCGTGAGCACGGGCAGCATCCCCTGACTTCGCTCTCAATACCCCTCCAAATCCAGAAATGGGTATAGACGCTTAAGCTGATTCATCGCGAGGCGGGTATAGTGGCTCATACAAAAACATGTTCCCATATTTGTTCTATCAACAGTCGAAATATATATTATTGTATTGCGTTCACAATCTTTACTTCTTATTACCATTTCACGTCTATTTTATTTTTAAATTTTGCCTTGTATAATTTGTATAACATTTTGCCAAATGGTTGAAATATGTTTGAATGACGATTTCTTGGCGTGTTTTCGTTTTGTGTTGCTGTATTAAATCATTCGGTTATTTTTTATCTACAGCAATAATGTGAAATACATTAATGTATCTCAATTATTCTATTTGTACATCCCTTACTGGTATTAAACATTATATTAATTTCAAGCACAAATTATATGAACACTTCATGTTTTTTCAAAAACTTGTACATGACCATTTTTTTTTAAATGAATTTTTGGAACAGGCTTTGGTTAAGACAAAAAAATTGTAGTTTTGCGATGTTAAATTTTTAAAACATTCATGAGTACAGAGTTCGCTGGAAATTGGACTAGCGCCTCTGTCCATCGCTCTACCCAGATGTACTTGTGACGTCATGGATACTCACAGCGACCACAGACACAGAGCTTTCGTATAACAAATATATTTATTAACAAGAAAACAAAACAAATATATACACTTAATAATCTACTTAAACCCTAGCTCTGATAGACCTACTATCCCCTGATCGCGGGAGCGATCCAAAACCCGATTGAAGATGGTTTTGATTGTGGCATTCGCCACTCCTACTTTTGAAGCGCGCACAAAGCCTAGCTTCCGTGACCGGATGTCACGCTGGGACACAAAGTCCGTTCTGGCGCACCAACGGCTGGTTTGCCTCGATCGCAGGAGCGATCTTATCCGATTGAGAATCGGCGTGAATCGTGGCACTCAACCACTCTTCACCTCGGAGCACGCACACAGCATCGCTCCCCTGTGACCGCAGTCACCCAAGGACATAAAGTCCGCAGGCTTCGTCAACTAATGACTCCAGCCTCGCGAGCCTGGCTCGCATATGCACCGTCTAGGCGCCAAGTTTTGTGCACACGCACGAGGTTCTCCCACCGTCTCCAGAACCTGCCTACTGGCTCCGTACACTCTGTTATATAGGCGAGGCCCACGTGACCTCCTACGTCACGCCACCCCCTCGCTTGTTATAACAGTGAAAAGCTTCTATAAGCCGGAAGACACCCAAAGCCTTGTGTCTCCCGTCTCCGCGTTCTTCCCTTTACGGAAAAACCCTACTTCCTGTGGCGAGACTAATCCTGCCAAGCGTCCCCAAATAGATGCCACGAGGCACGCTGGCTAATACGTTACATACTGCTGTTGTAGCTCCATTTATTCTGTGTGAACGGGAGAGCAGACGTACATTTGAAAGTTAGTGTTTGTAATTAAATAGTAAATGGTTTGATAGTTTGTGTACGTTCTTCTGTGCATTCTTGTTGGAAATGACAATACAATAATGCCCGAGGCGGGACTAGAACCCGCGATCCTTCGGTGCGAGATCACTACGGCACTACCGTAGTTATTTTTATGAGGAGATTTTAACACATTTAAAAAATTGTTAATTTTCTTATTGTCCTATAGATTGAACGAATGTAAACGTATTAAATCAATATTACGTTTTTGTTAGAATAATTTATGCATCATTTCTTCCCTTTATTATCCAGAAAAGTTTATTTTCCTTAAAATGCCTGGTAATTACGCAAGAATGTCGAGATGCAAGCGAGAGAATTTTCAACCATTCATCTGTACTTCGTTCTCAGGGAGAAATAATTATAAATTCGTTTCGACATCGCTAAGTGAAAGGAAGAAAATACGATACCGTAATGTGAAAATGTGTGTCCGAGTTTTTAGAAATGTGAACTCACCCGTATTACTATATTCCCACGTACCATGGCATAACACTTAACATAAGATTCACTCACACGTAATCTTACTGAGTGATTCTGTGTGATCATATTTGTGAACATGTACTATTTTATATTCCAGAACATCCGTGAACAGATGGCAGTCAGTTTGGAAAGAATGCGAGAATTAGAAGAACAAGTGAAGTTAATTCCAATTTTGCAGGTAATTATCTGTTGAAAAAAAATAAATTATTTGACCCTTTTCTTTGCATATTGCGGTTTCTTATCATCTCTCAAACAAGCCTTAGGAAGAAATAAATGTATTGAAGGGAGGGGTGAAACGTTTGTTTGAAATAAGCTGCTTCCGTTGAACTACTAACCCAGGCCTTTTGTTTTCTGTGGGTGCCGCTATGTGCTAGAACAGTACGAGTCCTATTCAGATTCCTACTCAGAGCCCTATTCTATTAGTCCTATTCAGTAAGAGTCCATATTATAGTTTTCAAAAGGGTCAACATTTTCAACAACCTGGTTTACTTGTAAGTGTGTTTTGTAATTTGTTACAAGTACTTTATAGCATATTTACTAATAATGTACATTGGAATGAGCATGTTACACTTTTTATTACAAATTTTAGTTTGTGATTTTATATTTTTTTAACTTAATAATAATAATAATAATAATAATAATAATAATAATAATAATAATACATTTAAATTACAACAGATCCAATTGGCTGTTTTGAAAGAAGAGAAGCGCAAGTTGTTGCTGCAACAAAAAGTCCAAGCAAATGGGGACCGGGCCAACTTTGCCAAATTAGAAGTGAATGTGGCCAGTGATATTGACAGTGTGTCATTACATAAAAATGAAGAACAAAATCACGAAGAAACAAGTTATCGTGGTGAGTAAAACAAAATCATTTGAGCATTGAAATGTCATTTTTTTTAAACGTAAGTGTTAAGATTCTCGGTAAAAAAAACAACTTCAGATGTGATGTGGCCTTGCTTCACATTCTGGAAAGTGCCTTCGATTTTCCAAGTCAACATAAGATTACGAAGGCCTCTGAGAAGTTAATCTTTGCCTAAATGACTTAAACCGGAAGAGCGGTGTCCCACTAGGGGAAATACATTGAGGAAGAAAATCCTGCAAGTCAACGTGTTGCTCGGCGTCTCATGTTCCAGTGGGCCAGGAACACAGCCACCTCCCGGCTATAACATGCACTCCACCCATGGGACTAATGACCAAGTAGTGACTCACTCACAAACATGACGTAGTGACTCGCACTCCCATGAAAACATTATCATTTTACGACCTTTTGAATGCATTAATCAGTAATTTTTAACTTACAATGTTAAATAAATAAAGATATTGTCAGGTATCAATAAGATATTGATACCTGACAATATCTTTATTTATTTATCATAATAAAAAGGTATCTACTTCACCAACAATCCAATTAACTTACAATGTAATACAATGTAATCGTTGTATAACGATTAAAACCTTTCACACACAGATGATTTTCAGACTGAAACTTTCAGTAGTAGTAGAATGAGATTACGGTTATTAGTTTCCAACGGTTTTGGTTACAATATGGTGGTTATTTATTATTATTTGGTTACAATTTTGTTACAGTACGGTATATCTTAGGTGACAATTTGTTTCGGCTAATAAAGAAGAATAGAACCTGACCTCAATCTCCAAACTGTACGGGATATAGTGCAAAAACGCGCATCAAGAAAGTATTTCGGGGGCGATGAAGGTGCAATATTAGTCGTCCCCTCCCCCCTCCACACACACACACACACACACACACACACACACACACATGCATTCGTTTTATAAGGACACTTTTTAAGAATGTGAATTTCTAATTTAAATGCCGTACGTTTGGACTTTATGGAAAAACTGCTGTGCAATGTCATAAGGTAGGGGCAATGTCATAAGGTAGTATGTGGTTGAAGTTTTAAATGGAGTAAAACAGCAAAAATGTTTTTGCGGGAGGGGGTATGCCCCCTAGATTCGCCTCTGATCGTGTACAGAACCTTGCCGGTACTCGAAGATGTGTCACCTCCAAACCAATCCTACAGGTTCGCAGGGTGAAACGCGAAGATCGCTTCCTTAGGTTGCACTGTCTATTGTCTCTTCAGGCCCGTAGAAATTTTTAATACCAATTCTAAAATATGCTATTTTTGTGAACACTAGTAATGAATATTAGAATCAGGGCCGAAACGTTGACCAGTTTGTAAATGAAATAATGTATTGCCAATTCGCCAAAACTGGTCTTCTGTTAGATTCTAAAATTGTGAGCATCGCCGAAGACCGCTTCTTTTCGTTCTTCAAAATATTTTCTTTCGCCTGCCAGATGAGCCGAGCGCCATCAGTTGCAGTCTCCGTGTCAGTTTAGTGTGTTAGATGTTAGGAATAGTATTCACGAGTGATTTACATCGTTCCTATACCGACACTACAAAGAATATTGTGAGAATCGATGCAAACCATGCCCAAATATAGATGAGAATACGTGTGCGTGATGAATTCAGGCATCAAACGGGGGCAAACGGCAATAAATACCGAATTTCAAAGAGCCCGCGTTTATTTTCGTTGCATTTAATTAATACTAGCAGTTCACTCCATTTTAATCAATTTCATCTATATTCATTATTGAATATAGGTTATATTTCTTAAAAATGAAGATCTAAATATATTTTACTTATATTCTAGCTACATAAATGTATTGATGTCTTGCGAATATACTATTCTACAGTATTCTACATCTGTTAAATTCAATGTGATTTAAGCATGGAGAAATTGTAAAAATTTTTAAAATGTTTTTAACTACAGCTCAGCAATCAAATATCTAAAAAAAAATTCATGATTTGGGTTTTGAGAGGAGCCTTTGAGATATTTTTGAAGCCTGTTCCAGGGTTGTTAGACTGTAAAAATTATTTTGTTATTTTTTTAATTGTGTTTGAATTTGGTGCTGAGAAATTATAAAAAAAATGTTTTTCTGATACTGTGAATTATTTTCTTATTTTTCATATTTTTCAATCAGATAAAATAGTGTTAAGTTGATGAAAAAATTAAAATAAAAGAAAACACGTTTCTGGCTGTAGAGGGGTGTGGATGGAAGGACAGGGGTAAGAAACCTTTCAAAAACCTTATTTTAATGTTAAAATTATAGTGTAACTACTCATATGTCATTTGGTTTAGGGGAACTTATGACCAACTTATGCGGGTGGACCCCTTCCCCCTCCACACACACACATACACATAATAAAAGATCTGAAGTCCTGCCTCTGATATCAGTTCACATGTTTCTAGCATATTAATTTGTAATTCTTGTTGCAGGAGATGGGCTAAAGAAAAACGATGTACTCCATGTATCCCCTGACAGTTGGTCAAAGAATTCAACTTTTCTTGGAAATGCATTAGAACAGACATATGTGCCAAATTCAAGTATAGAACGAAAAGTCAAAACCTCTTTTAGGAACAGAGGTATTACATGTTCTGTAGTTACCAGAGATGTTGGGGTGTCTCATTTGCAGCCCAAAATGAGAAATGTAGGCACTAATACTCAAGAACCACATAAAAAACTGACTTTTAGTGGAATGCGAAGAGAGAATATATTACCTGATGTAACATTGGAAAATGCTAATAGATTAGATAGAAAAGAGCTGGTGCAACCAATTCAGCAGTCATGCTATGAGTTAAAGCATGAACTTAGAAATCCTTCACAGTTATTACCTGACTTGGCAAGCACTCAGATTCATACTAAAAGTGTCTCAGTTAGCACAGATTTGCAAATGTCTGATATTCAACAGTATATTATAAAATCAGCTAATGTTTTAGATAGATATACAAAAAACAAACCAACTTTAATAAACATAGCTTCTCAAACAATAAATGTAGTTCAGCCTCTTTTACGCATTACTGAACATTCAGATTTTGCAGCTCAAGTTAGCCATGAACAATTTCCTGTGCAGAAAGAACAAAAAGAGATTCATTATGTAAATGCAGCTGTTCAATGTGATTTCAAGGTAATGAAACATGTTGCAGTCCAACAAGACTCGAGCATTTGGCAAAACACTTGTGGAATTCAATATGAACCACTTCACTGGAGTAGAGATGCAATAATTCAAGTAGGAGAATTTGAAAAACATGTAACAGATGTGGGTGTGACTGTGAAACCACAAATTGTAGATTGTGGAGTTGAGGCCAAAATTATTACTCGTGATAAAGGTACTTTGGTCTCTACAATTAATGAAATATCATGTGATAAATGTAAAGTGCCTCGATGCAATGTTGCTGTTGGAACATCTACCCCAGCTAATGAAAAGGTATCAATGGTTTCCCTCAGTTCCTTGTACGAATCATCAAATAGTCATCTTTTCAGTCTTTCAGAACAAAAAGCAAAAACTACAGTAAGTGTTGCTTGTGGAGTTGATTTTAAATTTTCTACTTCAAGAAGTACTGACACTAATGACTTAGTAACTATAATTACAAGAGAAGCTGGTATCAACACAATTAATAAACAATTCAGGGATGCCGCTGTTTGCCACTCTCAAGAACGACTAAAGACTGAACTAAATGGTGACCTCAACATTCGAACAAATGAAACATGTATTGTAAAAGACATTGTCACCAATGAATCTGTTCATATAAGCCAGTCACGAATTCCAAGACTTACTGGACCAGTGTCACCCACAGCTCCTAGTCCCATTATCACAAAAACTGGAACAACAGTGTCGGTGACAGCAGAAAAGCTACAAAAACCATCGTCTCCAGTGCCTCAGACCAACATTCCTAAATCACCCAGTACTAGTGTCCCCAAAGCGTATGCCCGGAAGCAATCTACTGTTACAAGTACTACACAAGAAACAAAAAACACTACTGAATCCAGAAGTTATCATCGACTACAAAGACAAGAAACCTATACAAAACTTCCTGAAGTTACAGTATCCCAGTTAGAAGAAGTAGAAAACACAAGAGAAAATAGGTGAGTTTCATGTCATTCATATTAAAAGTTTTGTGATTGAAGAAATATTGTTACATTTTTTATATTATAGGACTTACATGTAGCTGAGTATACATGTATTCTTAAGTGTCATTTACCCTGTCTCCTGCACCAGAATTTTTAGAGCTGCATTTAAACCACTTCTTAAGACAAATGATGCTTCTTAATCAGAGATTCAATCAACTGATTTAAATGATTTCTAGATGTCATGTAAATACATTTTAATTGTGTTGTAAGTAAAACATGTATTGAATTTCAATCACATTGAATCATATTGCCACTATTTACCACAATTCAAAATGACAGTTACCTTTGGCAAGTGATGCTAAACTTCTTTCTCCCCTCCATGGAAAGTGCAATGCTTCAGTTGTATATTTACATTATCTGTGATTGACTAATACTTACTAAGAAATAATGCTTACAAGAAAATTCTATTAATAAATATGATACAAATTTTAATTCTTATGAGTTAAGCAAATCGTCTACTAGTTTCCTATTCAAAACATGACCAAAATGGGACATACAATAAATATTTATTTAAAAACTCGAACGTAAAGATTTAAATTACTAAGAGCAATTGGTAAACATAAAACTAATTGTAGGCAGAGGTGCAAGATGAGATATTTTCATCATTAAAAACTGCTTCATTTTCATTTCAGTCTCATTTTCAGTTTAGTGAACTGTTAAATAGAATTCTCAAATTAATCTTATTTCCAAATAATAACTTTGAGAATTTATATTGCTAAATGAATATAAATTTCCATTACATTTACATAATTTAAATATGAATCCCATATCAATTATTAGTAAAATTTGTTTCTAAAACATAAGATTTTTAAAATATGTTTAACATTGTTTATCTAGGTTTTCAATTGTGATTTATTTTTTTATATTATTAATAAAATGGTTACATATTTGGGAAGGAAAAATTAGAGGTGCTTTCGCAGCAGTGGCCGTAAGCACTACTAATGAATAAATCGACCACAGTAAGAACTTGGATTGATTAATTGATTGGTCGGTTGATTATTTTGGGTTTCCGGACGCTTCAGCTACTGTGATATCCCGTATGTATAGTGTACGTTATACTGCGGGAGGTGGCGGTGTTCCATCCTCGCTGAATGGTGAGATCCGGGGCTGGCGTACATGTGGGATTGATTTCCTTCTCCAGGTATCTGTGCCAGAGGGTGCACCGCCGGGATAAACTCTGAGCTCCCGACATGTATGTTAGTGTAGTGGTCGCTAGAATTTTCCTCCAGACAGCGGCCTAATCTGTGTCGAAAATCCGCCAATGTCGGGACCCGAACCCTAGAATATCGCGGCCAGTCCTTGCAGTAGCAACAATTGTTGCCCTCAGCTGACTCAGGTGGTAGAACTCGATTTTCTAAAATCAGGTTTTGAATCTTTGAGCATTTAGCTATTGCAACATGATTTCACCTAAAGAACACTCCATAAACAAAAGGTATCATGAATATTTGAGCGTTGGGTGGGTATGAATTACTTCGGTTTTTGACCTTTTTGGGTGTTCATTAAATGGTTTTAAATCCGCGCGGTATTGTGCGTGTACGTGTGTTGCCAACTGACCAATGTTATGAAAATCCGGGAACCGAACGCAGGAGAACCTTGAGATGAAGTTAAATCAAATCTCATGCGAGTGCACTGGTACTGATGCTGATTGTCAGCGGGATGGCTTGTCTTGCTTGTCAGTGACAGCTGAGTGACAGTTTATACAGTAGGAGAGCCGAAGATACGGTAGCTCGGCGGCGTAACTGTTCTGGCCTGTGTAATACATAATGACGGCAATTGGTCGAAATAGAAGGGGAGGATATGAAGTAAACGATCATTTAATTGCTGTGGGTATTCAAAACCTTTACGGAGACTAATTTAATCACAAAAAAGGGGGCCGATGGCAGGACAGGAGTGGGGAAGTCTAAGTTGTGCACCTGTTATGTCAGATAATTTGAGCGTATGTGGAGGTTATGACGATAAAGAAGAACTCCTAGAAAGTGTGAGGGTGACCAGGTATAATTTTGAATATTTTTATAATTCCACTAATACTTTGTTTCTTGTGCTATAATTCATTTCAATTGTACTCCTTGTAACAATGTGTAATAACAATGTAAGATAAGCATTAGTGAATTTGTTTTTTAATGTTCAATTTTGTTTCTTTTGACATTTGTTTATTGTTATTGCTTGTTTTTATGTTTCTGAAAATTTTCATTCCATTTCCAAAGCTTTTAAGGGTTTCGTCTTTATATGCTTGTTTTTTCTTGCATTGATTTTATAAATGTTTGTTTTAACTTGACTGTACCGAATAAATTATATGAATGTCGTATTGTACAATTGAATTTTATGGTTCTAACAATAAGAATTATTTTACGTATGTGAAGTGACTATGAAATATTAATAATCATTATTATTATCATAATTATTATTATCATAATTATTATTATTATTATTATTATCATTATTATTATTATTATTATTATTGTAGTATCTTTTGAGTTATTGTTTGTATGTTATTATTTCATGAAATAATAGTAAATATTTTTATTGCAGGGTGGAGCCTAGCAAAGAAATGAAAGCTGCCTTGAAAGTAATAAATGATTATTTCAAAAAGAATCCCAGCAAAAAGGAGCTTCCGAAGAATCTAACAAATGCTACTAATATTGTTCAGCAAGAATGGTTCAAGGTAACATATGTTAATTTTTTCTTTCAAGTTCAAACATTTGGATTGATGTGCATGCAATGTACTTCTCAAAGAGGTTTAAATATTACAAAGTAATAGCTAAAAAGTGTTCAATAATTTACAAACCCAAGCAATTGTTTGTTTTTGAAAGTAGGTGAACCTTTACAGGCTTCCTTCAAAGATATCAGATATTGAATGGTAGTAAACTTATTTTACTTGATTGTCACTGCTTTGCATAATTGATCAAGTGGTTTGAATTTAATTTAGTGAGATGTGCAATAATCAGTTAATTGGACATTAGCAATTCTGAATTTTCTTTACCCAAATCGCATTCTAACAAATTTATAATGCTGATTGGAAAAAAGTTTAATCTGTAACAAGTCACTGACTGCAATAAACTGGGCTCCTAACTCTTCTAGATTGACTAAGATCCAGTAAATCTTGGTGCATTCGGCAGATAACATTATTGAATCATGTGTATTATATTGCTTCTTAAGTGTCTTAAGTTTTCTGTCATTGAGTGGAGCTTTAGCTCCCTTCGTATTTTCAGGGTCATCATACATCTGCTTCAAAGCATATTCATTGTAGATTTAGTTTAGTCAATGGGTTAGTTTTATTAATAGTAAAAAATAGGATTAGAATAAACAGGGTATACAGAAAATATTGGGTGTGTTTGCAGTTAATAGGTTGGTTTTATTAATAGTCAAAAATGGGATTAGAATAAAACTACAGGGTATACAGAAAATATTGGGGGTGTTAGCAATTACCTTTGCTTTATGCCCTGTCCCTTGCCACTGGGGCCCAGGGCATAAAGCAAAGGTAATCTTTCCCGTGAAATGTAGTGAATTTTTGTAGGCCACTTTTGTTATTTGATAATTGCAAAAGGCTTCATCAGCTAGTCAAGCTCAACTAGAATATTTGTTACAAAAGAATATTCATAATATTATTAGATGTCGTGTACATTAAAAAATCAAAATTGATATTCCTACTGTTTCAGGTTTCAGGTGGAAAATCTGTTAATCCCTTGGCCGTAGAAGATTATTTGGATTACATTGAAGGATGTTCATCAGCATTATTAGAATTTGTTGTAAATATGACTGACATAAGTGTAAGTTCATATAATTATAACTCTGGTTGTTAATTGTATTAAGAAAAACTAAATTACCATTTAACAACTTTGCAATTTATTGGAATTAGTCATTAATTTTGAGAAAACATGAAAGTTATTTCTTGCTCTTTTTTTAAAAATATAAATTCATTTTAAACATCCTAAGTTATGTTCCTCTAAAAAAAGATCTGAGATATATGCTGACTTAATTTGAATATTGGACTGTTTTATACATAATACAATGTGGCCTTAGTAGATAAAATTGTCAGTCAATTATTATCTTTTTTTAATTAGCGTTTCATCACATATGATTGACTTCAAAGAAAATTAACGTAAATAATGTGTAGCAAAAATGAAGTGTGTGTGTCTTTAGTGGTTTATGTATTTCATAATTTTGTTTATTTATTGTTATGGCATAGTTTTATTCTTTTCTGCCTGTCCACTTTTAATACTTTCAAATTTTATTTATGTAAAGAAAATGTATTTTACAGGGTAATACTGCATTGCATTATGCTGTTTCAAGTGGAAATTTTGACGTTGTTTCTATATTATTGGATTCAAAAGTTTGCAACGTAAATAAAAGAAATGCTGCAGGTTATACATGTGTCATGTTGGCTACTTTAGTAAAATTACGATGTGAAACACACAAACAGATAATTCGTCGCATGTTTCATCTTGCTGATGTTAATATTAAAGCAAAGCCTGTGAGTTTCTTCAGTTTTTGTAGTAAGTAATTAAGATCAATCACTTCAATTTTAATTTCAAATTTTTCTTTCTTTGTCTAGCATGGTCAAACTGCTTTGATGTTAGCCACATCACATGGTAGTTTGGAAATGGTTGAAATGCTCACAGAGGCAGGTGCAGATATGAATATACAAGATGCAGATGGTAGCACTGCTTTAATGTGTGCTGCTGATCATGGTTTTATTGATATAGTCAAACACATAATTGCTCAACCAGATTGTGATGTGACTTTAACTGATTCTGTAAGTAATGATTTTGTATTAAATCTTCAAAATGCTTTTAGACAGTGTGCGAGTGCTAGGTGTGGTGATGCATGCTATAGTTCACTAGGCAACTAAGCTTTAGAAATAAGTGTTGTTTGTCATTTCAGTTGTTGAGTAAATTTAATAACTGTTGTTTTGAATGAAATTATAGTTTCAATAGGGGTCAATTAGGGAATTTTCAAAAAACTTTGATTTGAGCTCTAGAAAATGTTCATGATGTTTGAGTCCATCTTTTTCGCCAGGATAAAATTTTAAAATAAAGTTGTTTGTGGAATCTGTAAAATAAATTATTATTCATAAATTAGTCTTACTTGCAAGTTTATATATCCCTTAAAATGTTACATTCAGCAACAGATACTGGATTCTTCATGAGAATTAAGTTTTGATTAAATTTGGTGTACATAACAAATTAATTTGCACAATCTATTAAAATATAAAATTCATCTTTGTGACTTGGACATTGTCTAAGAAGTGCACTTAACTACTTACACCACCAAATACAGTTAATCTTTTACAATCTAATGCATTCTTGCATTGCAAGTAAGAGAGGTTCTGAATTGCACAGAAGCATGAATTATTATTGTTTACCTCATTAAAAAATATAATGTAATAATGTTATACTTGAATGAAATAGTATAATTTGTGTGTTATTTTACCTTTTAAAATAGTTTGAAAATGTGATCCTTTCCTCCAAATGCCCTATACCTGTGAATGTACATTTAAATTATTATTATTATTATTATTATTATTATTATTATTATTATTATTATTATTATTATTAGTATTATTATTAGTATTATTATTATTATTGTTGTTGTTATTATTATTATTCGTTATGTTTAAACTTTTTTGCAGTTGTTTATTTTTTACAGGATATTATTTTTTACACTTATTTCAAAAGATTGTATAGAAGCAAAATATGTTGCATACCTTACTTCTTCTGAAAGAAATTGTCAGGTTTCAGACCTTCAGACAAGTTTTGCTTGTTTCTTGTCTTAGGTTTTTATTATCAAAATTACTCAAGCAGTGCGATGGAAAAAAGTTATTAAGGGTTTCATCGCAACTCTCATTCTGTACTGTAAATGGAAAGAAAATTGTTGCAAATAAGAAATATTGCTAATTTTTGTGATATTTGCACTTGATGAAAATCATTTTTTGTGATGTATCAAATGATTACGTTTAGTGTCATTGTTTTGCCCATGAGCAGTTGATGGAAAAATAGTACTTCTCACTGCTAAATATCAAATTTATTTAATGTAGTTCCATGATGATCAATATTTTTTGCCATCAAGATTTTCCAAGCAATGAAAACGTTTCCATACGTTTCACTAACAATCTTTTAATATTTGGAAATTGCATCATTTACTAATTATTATTGATATGAAATTAAAGGATCTATTTTGAGTGCAGCTGTATGAACAAGAATATAATATGGCCTAGATATAGTAACCAATTGTAATGGAACTTTTTTCAGTGCGTATTGTGACCTTAATTTGATTTACACCTCTTTGATACCGCATTATTTTTTTTTGTTGCTTTATCCTAATTACTGAAAGTCAATACTACTTTTCCTGCGAAGAAATTTGTACAAGTCTTTTCTTACAATGATGAAAAGGTATTCATTACCTTTAATCATGATTCATTGGTAAAATATAAATAGTTTTACACTCCGCAACAAATTGAAATGGTGATTGAAAGTAAAGAATGATTTTAAATTTTTATTTTGGAATGACATTGCATTTTAAGGTTGTGTGTACAGGTGGTATGAAGAACCAATGAATGTTATCAATGTTTTAGTAGCCACTAAATTTGATCTTTTCTATAAAGGCTTGTAGGCAGTGACTTTTATGTAGGGGGATTACCAGTTGTGTTGCATACAATATTTTTGTTGGTTGACTAATTTGTATATATTTTTTGTCAGTTGTTTCTAATGAGTGTTAATTATTACAGATTTATTTGCACAAATAAATTGTTTTCTTTCAGGATGGTTGCACTGCATTGAATATTGCAATGGAATCAGGCAATCGGCATGTGGGATTTTTACTTTACGCCCATGAACATTTTTCCCAAGGCAGTTCACCTCATGGGTCATTGCGCTCTAAGCACTCAAGAAGCAGCACACCTACATCTCGAAGCAATATTTCATCTGGTCATCCCACTGGTACACCAGTTTCTAGTGATTTGGATAAAAATCAGTCATGACGGTACAGAGCCTTTCTGCTCTTTGAAGAATTTATTTTAATTACTGTGATGTTCTGTATTTTGACAGTGCTTGTTTATCTAACTGGAAACACATCATACTCATTTCAATGTATGGTATTTCCAATGCTTGTAGATAATGTATTATGAAGAATAAGTTTTATTATTTAATGTGTTTACCATTGTTTAACATCATAAAAGAATTTGGCTTTTGTTGCAGTAATATTGTGACGTGCTTTTTTCAGGTTTTTCAAAAGAGTATGTCATTCTAAAATGTCTTATAAAATACAGTTATAGATTGTCATATTTGTAAAACCATGATACTTGCAAGGTCGTAAGTTTCTTATTTTTCTTTCAAATAAAGAGATATTCTAGTGTTCATTATTCTCATGTATAACTTTAATTCTATATATGAAAGTAATATATTTTTAAGTTTTATATAATATTGGAAGTAAGCAATTCACACCGTATTTAAAATGGCTTTCTGATATCAAAGTTCTGTAATCATTCTACATGTAAGAATCATCAAGTTTAGGTATTTTTTGTTTATGTTTTATCCTTGTAAGAATTACAAGTTTTATAAGTGTTTAGAATCTTGCTCTACTCTTAAAAGAGCAAATGTTTAAATGACATACATTTTGATTAATATAATGGTGACACAATGGTGCTTTTTAGTTGTCTGGAATATGAGAAATCTCATTTATATTGCTGCGAATTTCCCTGTGTAAGGCTTCTTTATTTTGCAGCATCTTGATTACAAAGCGGCTTCCATCAAAAATAAGTTTTGCATATTGCTTAGTAGTAACATTTTGTAGCGAATGTGCATTTTATATGTAGTTTCGCATGGAGAATTCCAGAATTAGCCATCATTTTATTAGTTCATCATACTCCGCAGGTATGATAGACGGACTTCTATTGAGCTGAAAGTATTTACAGTGATTGTTCATGGAAAGGACTATATAGTGAGGAAGCATACATCAAAGTTGCACTAAAATTTCTTTTAAAATGCAACTGAAGTCAACATTATATTTCATTTGTAAAATCATATTTTTCTGTTAGTGTTGAGTTCTAACATCTGGTTCTAGAGTACAGAGGAAGATTAAATTCATTTACATGGTTACTTGAATAAATTTTAATAATGCTATACTTTAAGGGGAACAATGTTAACAACCAATGTGTTCTTCTCAATTATTTATATTGAAAAAACAAGACAACAATTATTTAATGCTAAATATTTTTGTAGCTTGCAAATATTGCAGTGTAGTGTTTCAAAGAGAAAATTTGAAGTATAACAGGTTTGTGAAAAAAAAGAAAAAGGGGAAAAAAAGGAGCTGTTGACATTTTGAAATTAATCACTAGTGAATGAACTTACTTTTTTTTAATTCATTTTTTTACCTTTTTGTACATGGCTTATAATTTTACTAGTAATTTTCATGAATAAAACATCCATCCAAGTAATACATATTATGTAACATGTTATTCATACTGCAGATATATTTTTAATTAATGATGCTTATGCAGTAAAACATTATTTATTTCCATTAAAAGTATAATAACTTAAACATAAAGGCATTTAAATTTTTAGTAACCTGGTTTTAGATCTTGGCAACTAAAACACCTTCAGTCAAGGTATGTGCTTGAATGACTGTTTCTATATTAATATTTTTTATTAATGCACACAGTTCATTCAATTTATTCTCATTTGTTTCCATTATTACCTGTTTGACTGAATTCTTTGAACGTTTAACACTCGACATTCATGATGTGAACAAATGTATTTGAATATAAAATGTAATATATGTATGAATATGAATGTAATGTACATGAAAATGCCTACGTCTCTCATTCAGTATTCACTATGCAAACCACACAAACTGTGCAATTAATTCATCTATCAATCGTAATTGATATGATACTATTGTATGTCATTATTGTAGTATGGAATAGAGAATTTCTGGAAAGAACTTTCGATGTTTGTGAAACCTCACAACAAAACAGCTCTTGAAATGGGAAGAAGTGATAGTGTCATATGTAATACAAGTGTATGACCTGTTGATATTCTATTGATCCCTACCTTTTACAATTCTTAGCTGTTCTTATTGTGTTAAGTAATGTAAATCTGCATTAATTGGAACATCAAAGGTGACAATTATATGTAATGATACCAACCTTACTGATTGAGATTTGTTTAAAAATAATATATTTTTTCATTCTTTGTTGCATGTTTGGCCCAAGTATTTGTTTTATCCTTCAATCTAAAAAAAAATGTTCATTTCTATGATTTCAAGATTTTTTTAGAGCAGTTAAGAAAGAATGTGGTTGTTCAATCTTCTTTCTCTTTGATCATGCATTATTAGGAATCTATAATATTTTGCTTATACCTTGATTATGTATATCAAATTTTGTATTAATTATTTAAAATTTAAACATAAACGTGCATTTTATAACACTTTGTATTAATAAATACTTTATATCTAACATTTGGAAAGAGATTCCAATAAGTTATAAGAAATAATACACATTTAAAATACTTCTATTGCCTGTTTAGAATAGGAATCTTTGAATTCACATGACCTTACAAATCATTAATAGTTATTTATTTCCCTTGGGCACCAGATTTGCTACTGTAGTTTTTTTTTAATAGAGGGCTCAATTTTCTCTAAATTACATAAAATTTAAAATTGCCCCAAAGTGTAACCTGATGAGACAAGTTCAACCATCTGAAACCCAAAGAGAGTGGAAAAATTTGTACAAAAGGTGGAATGTGCCTTAGATCTGAATTTATTATTCCCAGAAACAAATATTATGTAAACAAAGAAAGAAAAGTTATTCGAGTTCTTAATATTAGATGCTTCAAAAGAATTATTTCCATCTGACAATTTAATGGAATATGGTCTGAGGTCTTGCAATTACTGGATTGCTGAAAGATTTGGTTTTTGATGTAACTTCTTTGAAAGTGTTTGAAATTGTGCTGTAAAATATTTTAATCTTTCTCCAACAGAATACAAATAATAATAATTATTGTTATTATGACATACATGTTGATTTCTTCCTTTTGTATTGTATAGAAGAATCATAATATTCTTTAAATTAATCTAGTTTATTTAAACCCAACAGTATCATTGTGCTGATTGATTTTGTAGTTTGTTTAATAGGACCACATAAGTTAGTTCATGTGGAAGTGGAGTTAGCTCATTAGAAATATTACCAGATGTGACAATGTCGACCTTAAAGATCTACATCATTGTTCAGTTTTAGCCATAATGTTAACTTGAATGAGATTTTTCAGATTTATTTATTAACTTTTTATTCTCGGATGAAATTATAATAGATACAAATTTCGTAATTTTATCTACAAATATTAAATTACTTGTTTTTTTGAAACAATTTCTTTTATGGGTCACATTGATGCAAAAAATGTAAAACGGGATATTTATATCTATTGTAACTTACTTTCAATTGATCGTAATTTTTCATTGCATTATTCTAGGAAAACATACAAGAATGGTAGGGGTTGGGACGACATGGTGCCAAATCATATTTCTCATGTCAAAAATAAATATCTTAGAGTAGCTGCATTCAAAGCAGCAAGAAGTGTACAAAAACTTACATGCCAGGATTTAAAAAAAAAAAAGTTTTTCCTCTCACTGACAAAATTAATGAAATGTGACTTGGAACTACATTGTTGCAACCCTTTCAATTAGTAGGAAGTAAATAAAAATTTGGTTGACGGATATATTGTTGAGATTAAAATGAAATTTAAAATCCAAAACTTTTAGGTGCATTTTAATCTATATGCATAATTCTTTACAAATTAGAGTATGTGCACTCAGTTATTATATGTTTACATGGACCATGAATAACCAAATAGTTGATACAGTGACCTTAGAAATTTTGTACGTTTGAGAAGCTGTGTGGCATCAAAGTTGAATTGGATATGGAGCTTCAAATTACTTTCCTCCAAGGTTACAGGTCGGTTGTACTTTGGTTAAGGTTGTGTGTAAAGATATGGTTCATGGAACCTGTCACTACTCGTAAACTTTTTACATTTATTCATTCTGAAATTTTTGATAATTGCCTAGTGTAACATCATGTAAAATGTCAACATGTGAAACATACTGTTCGACTTTCGTCTTATAGTGTTTGTCATTTTTACACATGACGTGTGCTGCTCTTTCCATATGTGTTTGAGAGTTTATAGTAATTTCATTGCTTTCTATTTCAAGACTCTTCAATGGGATGTATGTTGTCATCCAGCCATTGATCATATCCCACCACCACTTAATGAATTTATCACATATCTGTTGCAATAGGGAGAGGTACATCTGTATCTTTTTTAAGTGTTTTAAGGGATGTCAAATTTATAAATGTCTTGCCACCTGGAAGTTCATGTTTTTTGCAGAAATGATAAGAGTCTTATGATCTATAAACCAGTTTAATTATTTTGTGTTGAGAACCATTGGCAATAATCGAGCAAGGTTGTTGTTTCTTCACAATACTTTTACTTTACATTTCTCTACTTGTCAGACTTTGTTACTACCCCTCTCCCCATTCTGTCTTCCAACTCAAGGTTTAGGTGTAATTTTTTGTACTGAACTACTTACGTGTATTGTAATATGCAAAACTTTGTTGATGGGTACTATAGTGTTTCAAAATTGGATGTATTATAAAAATACTAAGGAAATGAATGAATTATGAATGTATCTAGTAATTGAAAATGCATGTAAATTTGGTATATGTTATAAATTATATATTATGACACTTTCAAGAGTTTTAAATTGTTTTACACCTAGTTTTTGCCCAAAATAACTGTGATGTACGAAGTATGTGTGAGTGTTAATTTATTTTGTATTAGAGTTCGTATATTCTAGAGAAAGTTACTTCAATCTTCTGCATCCTTTGATGTAATGTTCATAGTGTAGTAGAGAAGATATCTTGATTATCTTGTGGTAGAGACAAGGTACTTCTGCAGTATTATTGAGGGTCCATACTTATATTTTTCTGAAAGTAAATACCATATTTTGAATCTTGTTGAAAAGATGGTGAAATTGTATATTCTCCATGGAACTCCCTATTGTACAGTATACCTCGAACAAAAGTGTGCTGTTCACCAGCATTAGTGTGTCAGTATAACATATGCATGTCATACTCTGATTCGTTTTCTGTTTAAAATATTAAAGTCTGTAGTACAAAACGGTTCTATAAATGTTGAAACTTGTCAATAATTCTGAACCTAGAAGATGTTGTATGTTGAGTGAATGATTATAAATAATGTGATAACAAAATTGTTCTTTTTTCCTATCCCTTATTAACATGATCCTTTTATCTTCCTGGAGTATTCGTTTAGTAGTAAAAAATAATGTAATAAGGAATGTTGTACTTGTAGAGACTTCGAGAGATTAATTTAGGCCAACTATATTAGATATCTCACTGAAATCGGAATGCTTCTCTAAATTCAGTGAATACGTGTGATAAGTCAGTTTGTGTGGTATTTTCAAAGAATTTCATATTATTGGATCATATTTGATATTTTCTTCTTTCCTGTTGTATACTTGCACAGAATTAATGCAACCCATAAATTTTGCTAATTACCTAGAAACATTTGCTTTAATCATATTTATTATTCATGATGCAATATACTAAATATTGAGGAAACAAAGTAAAAAGAAAATAATTAATTTATGGTTTTGTGGGAAATGACCAGGTTTCTCAAACAATATTATTTTGCATTTTTTCCTATGTGTCTGTTTTAGGTCTTCTAAAACATAAATTAACTATAGATGAATGTGCTTGTGACCTATTCTGACTGAATGCATCACTCCCATCTAGATTATTATTTTTATTACATTACTTAATTTTTTTTTGGACACAGACCCCTTTTCAAAAGTAATTAAAACAGTTGTCCTCTCATTGTAATTAACTTCATCTGTTCAAACTAATAGAGTTAAATAGTTTTTGATATCAAATATTCTCAAGATATCAAAACTTACATTTTAGATATTTGTAACATTAAATATCAAAATTAGCACTGGAAAAAAAAAGAAAGATGAGATTTGTACATTTAAAAAAAGAGTGCAAATTATAATAAGTCCTCGAATTAAATTCCTTTTTTAAAAATAAAATTTAAGATAAACTAGTGGTGCTACAAAATGGCACAGACATCTGATGTAAGTCGGTTTCCTATTTTCTTGAGTTGGGGCTAGCTTTATGGTTTCGCCCCACTCTCCCCATGAGCATTCCCAGTGAAAAGTACCCCCACGCTGCCCAAACATCACTTGGGCTCCTTGCTTAGCCCATAGCTCCACCTCAGTGTTTGTTTCATTGTTCTGGGTGTAGGGTAGGGAGCCAGTTCTTCAGATTCACCCAGATTGTACATAGTTACCAGTCATGGGCAAAAGATGATGGAGTGATTAGGGAATAAATGTAATACAGGAGGGACTGGAAATGCTCCACACCAGTGCTACAACTTAAAATATTCATGCCTTACTCAGGTGTTGAACCCACAGCCTTAGTAATCACATACTTGGGCTCCTGTGCCTCAAGCTTGTTTCATGAGACCAAATCATTTGATCATACTACTTATAAATCTGTTATGGTTATGTAACAATAATTTGTTGAATATAGTTGGATAAGTAAACATATTCTTGTTTTATGCTTACATGGCCTATAATGTGCTTTGCTGTATTTAATCTCTGAATCTCGATGACATCATTTGTTTCCATAGCAACAATGTTACTTATTGTTAGCTTTCACATTTATCAATATCCCATTTGGTCATGCACATTTTTTTAAATTAACTAACTACAGAATTTGTTGTAGAGCACAATCTTTACAGCATGTATCAATTAATATTGGTTTGTTTTATTTTCATGCAATATTTATGTAGTATTGGAAATGGTTTTATGAAAATACATGTATGCTTTTCACAATTTCCTGACTTTTCCCCCTAATAAGAGAATTGAAATATATGACTTTGAGAAAAACATCCTGTTTTATAAGCAAGTTTTCACTAAATAATTTGGAGCTGTTTTTGAGAAAATCTTGTTTCAGCATTTCTGAAAATGCTCACTTCTGAACTCATTTTTACTAGAAAACTGATTTCGCTGGAGATTTCAAAAAACTCCATTAAAAATTACTTGAAATTAAAATTTTTTAAATGTAAACATTCATTGAAAATTACTTGAAAATTATTCATATTTTCAAAAAAAGAAGACCTTAATTAAAGATCTAATTCTGAAGAACAATTTCATTTGAAAAACTGGTGATTACACACAGCATATCGAAACTTGTCCCCCTAATGCAATTACTCAACAGTTACATGTATTTGTAAAAACTTTCATCACATTTAAAGATCTACAATTGAATTAAAGTATGCAGAAAACACCTAAGCCACAAGAATCAAAATGGCTGAAAAATAGCTTAGGGCATATCATCAAATTTCGTGCCGCAAGGATGCACGCCGAAAATTAGATATGAGTGAAATGTGGCTGTAGAAAAGTTCTATTCACTTCAGAAAATAGAAAACCTTAAAAACATTGTTTCAAGTCGTTCAGTATTAAGTCTTGAAAACTAGTAAAATGAGGGGGGTTACAAATTGTGGAACAATTCATTCACTGTGAACACAAAGTAGAACATGTTTTTGAAGCGATCATTCTATGAATTTTACAATTTTATTAACATACTGTAAAACTGGTAACAGTATAAACATACTGTAAAACTGGTTAATATTAGTAAACGATAAAACATCTTGGGCAAACTGTTTTTCATTTAAAGCAAAAATGAAATTTCATGGAGTATAAAGCGCAAAATTTTTTAAACCTAACACCCTTAGTGTTTTAAATATCAAATTTTTGCTCTTTTCAAAAGGCCAGACCGGCAAAGGTGGCTCAGGGCATAAACTGATGTCACTGCAGTGCCTCCGACTGGGAGGTCCCAGGGTTCGAGACCCGACGGTGGCAGGGTTTTCGATATTAGCTTGGCAACTACGTCAAATTCAGCCGCTGTATGGTCAAACTGTAGTGGCCGGCTGCCCTGATCGGTAGTTTTCTGTGGTTCCTCCGATCACCAACAGGCGAATGTCAGAACAGTACCCTAACAAACGAGCCACGGACCGTGGGCAATCTTTTCTCCCTCTTCCACTATCTGTCCGCACCCCTTACACCCTTTCACTCACATATACTACATCAGGGGTGTCCAAATCGCAGTGTCCCATGGACAACTAAAACCATTAATATGGTTGCGGACCATATTAAACGGCGATCCACACCTGACTTCCCCGTATTGTTGATCTCGGCACTTTGCCTGACTGCTCTGAAACGGGGAAGGGGGGAAGGGAACCATGCGTGACCATGTCGCACTGTGCTTAACGCAGTGGATCACATTGAGATGATTTTGAATTTCGGAATTCACTGTAAAAAATACTTAAATCTAAATCTAACTTAGGGGTTGCTGACCGCAGTAGGGCGCGTGCACTAGGTGCACAATGTTCTTGCCGGACATCGATGCAAGGGACTTCCACTTTGGACTAAAAATACAGGCACACAAAATAAAAAAAAGTTGTCAGACCAAAAGACGTGCCACGTGTTTCTCTCTGTATGTTGACGCGCTGAATCCGAATCTGAGGCAAAATTGCTCCACCACCCTCCAGTTTTTTTTAATCGCGAAAAACCATGAAGACATTGTATTTTTTTCGGGAGTTGTTGGCACCCAAAGACTAGGCATCTCTCTTTGTATGTCGACACACTGAATTCGAATCCGACGCCAGAATTGGGAGACCACCCTCCGGTTATTAATCGCGAAAAACTCATGCGAATACTAGATTTTGGTGTCTTGTAGTATTGTACTCTTTAGAACCCAAAAGTTGTCAGACCCAAGACATGACACTTGTCTCCACCGTGACATTAACAATCTACAATTTCACGGTTATTTTTCGCAACTTTAAAAGAACTGGAGGGCGATGGCGCAATTCTGACTTCACATTCGGATTCAGCGCGTCGACATACATGGAGAAACGTGTCAAGTCTTTGGGTCTGACTTTTTTTTTTTTTTTTTTTTTTTTTTTTTTTTTTTTTTGTATGTGTGTCTGTGCAATATTTCGTGGGCCACAATAAATGGCACTTCTGGCCGCCAGTTGGACAACCCTGCATTATACTATCACACTTGGCGGGACACCAATCAGGAGCTTTGAGCGTGCCCCGCTAGTGGGCAATACCTGGTTGAGGAAAATCCCCGCATGTCGGCGCCGGGGATCGCCAGGTGGAGTTGATCATCCCCAGCCATCCTGCGGGGGGTGATCACAACTACCTCCCGCGTTGGAAACAAGCTCTACATTTACAGGACTAATGATCTTCGCAGTTGGTGCGCCCGGAAGCAATAATAATCAATCCAAATGTCATAGGTTTCTATCAAAATCGAGGCAATATATTTGCAAAGATTTGTATCCCTTTTTAAGCATATGGCGCGCACGGAGAAGTGTGAGATTGGGCATAGTTAAAGTTTATATGGAGAAGAATGCAGAAAGCAAAAATTTATTAATAATATGTGTTACAAATATATAAATATATAAAATTGAATAGCGTACAAATGCAACCCGCAGCCACGACTATCGTACATAACTCGTAAATGATGCGTTTTAGAACCTTAAAACCTAATTTCTTGCCCCGTAAGTGACAGAAGTTATGTTTTCTATGCCATAATATACAAATGAGACGTTTTATTCTAAGCCGAGCGTTTAAGAGAAGAGAAAAATACATCTCTTCATGTTTGCATTTGTGTTCGTGAAAATCATAATAATAATAATAATAATAATAATAATAATAATAATAATAATAATGATAATAATAATAATAAATTTTCATATCTAAACGATATTAGTTTCCATAGTAGTTGTGATGATATTTTTTGCTCTGAACATAACAATGCAACTAAACAAAGGGTACTGGAGACTGAACAGTTGACTGCCGAAGGACTTCACTCTGTTGGCGGTTCAAGTCACGAGATCAGTTTCCATTATATTTCTCATTCATGCGGAGAACGGCGAAGCCCAGTAATCCCTCAGTTTTCATAGGTTTTAAAATTTCAAAGGTATTGCAGGGAATTAAGGAAACAACACACTTTAATGATGTATTTGTACACGCTCGAAGATGACGTAATAGAATAAATTTAAAAAAAATAGTGTATACGGTACGTATAAATTATTGATTTGATTGAAAGAACTCGTATTATAAATGAACAGGTATTGGGCTCTTTGAGAAAATAATGTCAATAAAGTTAAAAAAATAAA